TAACTCAGCTCAGGACTGTGTTTCTCGTACAACATCGTAACTCGCTGCTTAAAGGGATAGTTCACTTTGAAATTAATTTTTGGTATGTTTTATCTTACCTCAAGGGCATCCAAGATGTAGGTGTCTTTGTTTCCACAGTATTTTCAATTTTGACATTTTTAGGTCAAGCCGTTGTTGTCTATCAGTCATATAATGCAGGTCTATGGTCACCACCTCAAAGAGCAGCACAGAGAAGTCCAAATTAAACATGATTTAATGACTCGTAAATGTAAGTACACATTGATGGCCTAAGACACGAAACGAACAGTATTTATATCGTTTTACCTCTTGTAACCACCAGTTTAACACACTACTGAATAACTCAACCAGGCCCCGCCCCTTTATTCTGCGCATGAATTATTATAATGAGGAATATTGTGATGTGTTCGTTCCCGGAAGAAACTCAAGATACAATGGAGGCGTTTAGGGAGTTCATAAACACTGAAATAGAGAACAGACTTTGCAGCATTGTAGAAATATGCACAGGCCTGCTCTCTTCATACATGTTCTCTCTTGATGCGTGTCCAGGTTAAGTTTGCAAAGGATGGAAACCCGAGAGATTCGGCGTCTCCTGCTCCCAGTGTTGAGAGTCTGGGCTCCTCTGAGCTGAACCAGTCCCTCGGTCCTGCTCCACAAACCAGCAAACCCAGGTGAGAAGAACCCACATCTCAGACTGGCTCCTTCTTTAGGGTATTTTAAACGAAACCTCAAATTACATGTACTTAATTGGCAAGAGGCTCTAAATAGATCAGTTATTGTGTGTTGCTTTTTGTTAATGTAATTTTCATTATGTGATTGTGCAGCATTACTACATCAGTTCATGTCAAATGCAATATTTACAGATTCTTCTTGCCTTTTAATAAAATGGCAAAAGACAAAAAAAAAACATGTAGATATCAATCAAGTCAATATTGGACATCATTGGACACAATTTTGGACATGTACTGTATTTTTAATTGTTCAAGCTGATTTCTCCTATTTTTATATTTTTGACCATCTATCATTAGACACTATTGTTCAAAAGTTTTGGTTATTTTAATTTTTTTTACAGAGGAAATACTTTTATTGAGCAAGCATGCATTAAATTGTTTAAAAAAAATCATATTTCAAATAAAATGGTCAACATTACGTTTTTTTTTTTTTTTGGCTGTATAAATAAATTAATGAAATATTTATAATATTTAATGTTTATAATATTTAATACTATTTATAATATTTAATATAATGAAAATATATTTAATATTTAATATTGAATAATATTTTATAATATTTAATTTTCAATCTGTGTTTCTTCTTTGTTTTCAGTGAACCGCCTCTTCGAGCAAAATCAAACTCCCTCAGTGAACAGCTGAGTGTAAGTTTGCTTCATGTCAGGTGTATCACAGATTTAGTTTTAGTTTTATCAAAGTTAGCATAGCTGGAGCTGGGGTTTAGTGGTTAGTGCACAAGACACATTGAGCTTGAAGTCTTCATATGGGAATTGCAAGTTCTTATCAAGCGTACAACATTTCCAGATTCTTCCCCTTTTCAATAAAATAGCAAAATATATAATATATAGGTATGCACAATATAAAACAAGTCAATATTGGATACATACTTTATCCAATTATCAATACTTGAATAAAATTAGAATGATTTCTGAATGATCATGTGATGTAACGATGCTGAAAATTCAGCTTTGATCACGAGAATAAATGACATGTTACTATATATATATATTCACATAGAAAACAGCTATTTTAATTTAATATTTCACAATATTGCTCTTTTACTCTATTTTGGGTCAAATAAATGCAGTCTTTGTGCACATAAGCGACTCAAAAACATTTTAAAATATTACCAACCCTAAATTTTGGAGTTGTAGTGTAAGTTAATTTTTAATATTACACTTATCATTTATTAACACTTAAATATATAATTTAGCAAATCTCAGAATGAATATCCATAGTTCATAGTTGTCAGTTTTATTGTTTTGGTTGAAATTCATTTGTATAGACTTTTTTTTTTTATTGGTTATCAGAAAAGAATTGTCGAGTAGAATTTGAATATTAATGCATCTCTAATAATAAACCTATCTTTGTGTGTTTTCTGACGTGTTTTGTAATGTCTTCAGAATCCTGATGCCACTAAAGCTAAACTGATCTCACGCATGGCCAAAATGGGCCAGCCGATGCTGCCCTTCATCGCGGGCTCATCTTCCTCTCCCTCACAGCCGGACTCCAGCGACTCCGAACTCGAGGCAAGACTGAGCGTTTCATTATAATGCTTTTACACCGTCTTCTATTCAGACACAGCACACAGTGGCAAACGAAAAATATCTTAACCTTCATCCTTCCCTCACGCTCCGTAACAAAATCCTTCCCTCGCGGGTCAAAATGACCCGAAGCCCTAAAATTATATATTTTTTGTCCATGAAGCTTATTTTATTTAATTTTGATTAGATTTTTTTTCTATTTTATAATGCATTTTTTAAATTTAATTTACCTTTAAATGACTAGATAAATAAAAAATAAATAGTAATTTAAGCACATTCCTCACATTCTTTCAACCTTAATTCAAAATTTCATGCATAACCCTTTTAATTCAGCTCAAAATATCTTACGTTGGGTGTCTTTGCTATGGATGCTCGTTTCCGCCACTGAATAAAAATAAATAAATAAATAATTGCAACTTTTTATCTCACAATTGCGAGATATGAAGTCAGAATTGTGATACAGTCACAATTCTGAGAAATAAAGTCGCAATTGTGAGAAAAAAAAGACAGAATTCTGACTTTTTATCTCACAATTCTGACTTTTCTTCTCAAAATTGTGAGTTTACATCTCACAATTCTGACTTTATAACACATAATTGCGACTTTATATCTCGAAATTCTGACATCTTTTCTCAGAATTGTAAGGTATAAACTCGCAATTGCGAGTCATCAGGCCAATTCTAAGGGGAAAAAAAAGACTAACTTTTTTCCCCCTCAGAATAGTTTATATCTCGCAATTGCGACTTTACAACACGCATTTTCAACTTAATATCATGCATTTCTGACTTTATGACATGCAATTGCGACTTTATATCTCTCAATTCTGACTTTAAATCTCGCAATTCTGAATTTATATCTCGCAATTCTGACTTTATATCTCTCAATTCTGACTTTATATCTCTCAATTCTGACTTTATATCTCGCAATTCTGACTTTATATCTCGCAATTCTGACTTTATATCTCGCAATTCTGACTTTATATCACACAATTCTGACTTTATATCTCGCAATTCTGACTTTATATCACACAATTCTGACTTTATATCTCACAATTCTGACTTTATATCTCGTAATTCTAAAAAATAAAGTCAAGAGTTGTGAGATGTAAACTGTGAGATAAAAAGTTGCAATTATCTTTTTTTATTTTTCAGTGGCAGAAACAAGCTTCCAAACTTTGCTGACCTCTTGTGGAAAAAAAATAAATAAATAACATGACTCTTGCCACTCGATAGGTTTATAGCTCTATATGGAGGAACGAGGTGTTTCCGCTGGGTCCTAAAGTCAGTTCGTCAGCGTTCAGATACACACGTAGACATTATGAAATAATGTTTTGGTTTAGGTTTAGCATTTTTAGTTTGAATTTTAAGCATTTTTATTTGTGTATTGAACCATTCCTCGCATTTATTCCTAAGGGGGTCAAATTGACCCACAAGGGAAGAGTTTGTGATTTTTTTTTTTTCAATTTCAATCACAAAACTCCACGAATCCATTAACTTACGAACTTTTGTGTATTCGTGGTTCAAGTGCGACAAAAGTCCTGGGGTCTAGGAGCCCTCCGATGAACACTCAATTTTGAAACAAAATATTATCCGGGTGCGATTAGCTCCAAAGCGCTCCGAGGGAAGGATGGAGGTTAATAACGATATATAAATGTGAGAGAACGTATGCAAAGGTTTACAGATGATCCTGTTCCTGCTGTAGGACCCGAGTGTGTCAAGACGCAGGGATCGCAACAGTGCTCCGTCACCACAGCCCGTGCACATCACCTCCGCCCCCCCGCCGTCAGTGCAGGGTAACACGTCATACTCTTATGAAGACCAGTGGTTAGTGCCCACAGTTATGTGCTGTTACACTGTCTTATGTGCTCTTTCTGTTCCAGCCTCGGCCCTTTTGCCCGTTACGATGGCGACAGCCAATCCTCAGCCCATGATGCCGGGAGTCGTGCACGCCTTTCAGGTCGGGAATTCACTAATGCTGTGTAACTTCATCAGTCAGTCCCACCAGGGCTTTACCGGAGTTTATTTTTTTATTTTTGAGAACGCATACAGAATATTTCTACTATTGCCCCTCGAACCTTCCCGCTTCCCACACCCACCCCATTGCACTATGGGACTTTGATAGATACATTAATAAAATGGGATAAAATAGAACAAATACTGAGAAAAATATATAAAATAGCAGTAGTATAAACAACCGAAATAGTAGCTGCAGTTTAAGTATCCAACATTTCCTTGACTATTATTAATGCTAGGGCTGTGAAACGATTAATCACGATTAATTGCATCCAAAATAAAAGTTTGTGTTTACATAATATTTGTGTGTGTGAACTGTCTATAATTATTTTGTATTTATAAACACACACACACATGTATATATATTTAAGAAAGATGTGTTATTTATATATAAAATATTTCTGTATAGAAAAATTATATATATATATATATATATATATATATATATAAGCAAATATTTCCTAAATATATATATGCGTGTGTGTATTTATATATATACAAAATAATTATACACAGTTCACACACATGTATAATGTAAACACAAACTTTTATTTTGGATGCGATTAATCGCGATTAATCGTTTGACAGCCCTAATCAATGCTATTTAAAATTACTGAATTTGCTGCAGATTTTTTCCGAAATATTACAGTGACGTTTGCTGCTCTTTTTTGTGTTGCTTGGCATTGAAAACCCAGCAATAATCCCAATGTCCTGTAATTAGCGTTAGTGACAGTAAGAGTACAATTTAATAAATACTCACAATTCTGCTTTGTTGAAAATGCAAAAAAGAGGCCGTTTACACGATACCGTTTTCAGCTAAACCTACTGTCTATTGTTGTAATGTTGTAGTAATATATAATAGTATTTTCATTTAAAGCTGTGAATTTAATTTGCGTTCAAAATTGGAATATCGCATGAAGCATTTGTGAATAATGCAGCGTTTCCGTCTCATGTGTTCAAGAGAACAAAATCGTCACTTCCTGGGGAATTGGCATAAAATATCTGGCGGTTGGAAACATTAAACCAACATTTGAGATGCTGCGATGTGATTGGTCCGCTGGTTAGTCCAGTTATCCAATCACAGCCTCTGCTAAGGCAAAGTCACATGAGGTTTATGTTGCTCAGTAAATGTCAGTCCTTCCAGAAAAACGCGGAGTTTTTTTGTGATTGTTGCGGGCAAAAATCCTTGATTACGCGGCCCGTTTTCTTTAAAAATGCGATGGAATATGCGGGATATTTATGCAATTTTATGCGATGAAATTGCGGGAACTTGCAAAAATTGCGGGAACTTGCAAAAATTGCGGGAACTTGCAAAAACTGCGGTTTAATGAAAAAGAGAAAAAAAGTGATTCCCCCAACATCCTGTTCTCACTAGGCTACTACCTTAATGTAAAGAGTCATTTCTTATTACTTTCTATGATGTAGCAAGCATACTAACTCATAGAAAGTGCTGGGAATATTTAATTTCTCTCTTGTTTTAATTTTATTAAATTTTCAAAATCACAGAGTTTGATATCAAGTTCTTGACATTTCTTTTACACATTTTCTGAAAAGTATAACATCTGAGAAGTAGCCTAAAACATGAAACAATAATTTGGAAAAAAAAAAAAAAGAAAGAAAAAAAAAAAAAAAGATAGAGGGCATCACAGACATATTAAATTCCTTTAGCAGAGATACAGATCTTTTGGGCTTTTCGATTTTTTTTTTAAATTTTAAAGACTCAAAATACATTTTAAAGGCTGTTTTGAAATGAGCAAAGTTGGGTTTTGAGTTAGGCTACTCCACTTAGTTTGATGAATATGAAATTTTCCTAATAATAGAAAAAATCGATAACATACATTTTTCTTATAGGAAAGTCAAAATCATTTGTATGAAGATGACAAATTTAAGACAAGGTTGCAATTCATTTTAAAACCTAGAAATTGAGACATCTCATTCCAAAAGATTGAAAAATAGGGACATTCAAACAATAAGTGCACAATAGACTCTCTTTCACAATTACAAAATCAGCAATGTTTTATTTCAGACTGTAACGAGTGTAAATAAGGTGTGGCCCCTTTAAGAGCTGCGCGCTGAACTGTCTGCAGTGTGTGCGCCTCAAACACCCCATGTCGTGTGCGGGTAATTTCTGTTTGATGCTTATTCTTTTATCTTATTTTGTTTATTAAGTAACGATGTGATGGTAGAACGTGTGACAGACAGTTATACGAGTTCGATTTGTGAGATGTCAATCGCCTCCGTGAGTCTTTCTGGCCTCTGCAATAACTTCAGCTGTGAGCTATCCCGTCGCGTAATTGCGTCACTTCATAACGTTCCCATGGAAACCGGAGGAAATGGCTGCTCTTGTATGAAGCAAACGCAACATTTTTCAACTTTCTGCGAAGATATATGTGACTTTTTTTTGCAACGAAAATACGAGGATTATGAAATCATGCGAGCCCCGCATATTTTGCGTGGAAATCGGCATTTTATGCGGCGAAAGTGCGGCTTATTCGAAAAAATGCGGCCCCCGCATAAATATGCGGACTTTGGCTGATTTTGCATTGAATTCAGCGATCGCATAATCGCGTTTTTCTGGAGGGACTGATTAAATGTGTTTTTACAAACACGTTTCTTGCTGTTTCCATCCAGCATTTTTTTTTTTATAGCAATATCCCACAATTCACATAAAAAACATGTGGATGGAAACATAGCTATTGATTACACGCACACACGAAATATTGAAAAAGTCTCTATCTAGTAAAATGTATTAAATCTAATGGTGATTAAGGCATTATGAGGACTAATATACATTAGTATATTACCATTAGTAGTTTATTATTTCTCTGTGTTCCTCCTCATTTCTGCTTGGAGGTCTTGATTGCGGCATTTCTTTGTTGTTTAGAATCCAGTATTTCTCTAATTCTTTTATAAATTTAATCAAGAACTGTCTCGTATTCTCACACAGCGTCTTGTGTAAGTCATGTGACTTTAAATGCACAAAACCTGTTTATTTTTCAACAAAAACGAAATATTCTTTTTTCGAATCGCCTGTAAAACCACCTCATGCGAGCATAAAAACATTTTCGCAAAATTGACGTGTTTCCATTGTGCGTATTTTCAATTCACAATTTCTATTCGCGCAATTTGAAGGGTAACGGAAACGCGTCTACTGGAGTTCACTGCAATACCACGGCAGGGCAGTTGAACATGTATAGAATAATTAGTTTGGACTCTGAATTATGGACTTTTATTAACCAATATTGCTTTTTCCTCTCTCAGGTTAATGTTTTTTGCTGAAAATTAAATTTTAGAAATATGACAAAAAATGCAGTCTGTCTTTATTGTACTCTAAATTCTATGATCGCGGAGGGACTTCAATAACAAGATTGAGAACATTAATTGTTGTTATTGTTGCTGTTTTCCAAGACTATTATTGCTCATATATTTAGTTTTGATCCATATATTAAATCTGTTAATACTCTCTGCAGCCTGTGAGCCAGATGTACCCCACGCAGACCGTGCCTTACCAAGGTAAAGATCACTACAGAAACCTACCTGTACAACACTTACACACAAAACATTGCATTTATTTGTAGTTTATCAGCTTCAGATGTCAATACTAAGGTTGGGATTTTAAATGACGCCTGTCTCTTTAAGGAACTAGTGATGTCACATCCTTCTTGATGACAGAGGCTCGACAACACAACACTGAAATCCGATTGGCTGTTGGAAAAGTGGCAGACAAAATGGACCACTTGTCCTCAAAGGTTGGTTCATAATTAGCAGAAATTTAAGTAACGAAAATTTGACGCTTGAACAAGCTTTCGAGAACGCTCTACTTTTTCAGATCGATGACCTACAAAAGCAAGGCAGCGTTTCGTTGGGCTTATCGAACGTGTCGATGGAAACGGCCATGATCATGCACAACATTCAGAGAATCATACAGGTAACTTGCAGTGTTTGGTCAATCGTTTTGGGTTCACGAAAACGAACCCAATCAATGGGTTCGTTTTACTCTCTGAACCCATCTCTCATTCCTCCAGGAGAACGAGTGTCTGAAGAAAGAGGTGTTTGAGAAAAGCTCACGCATAGAGGAACAGAACCGCAAGATCAGCGAGCTCATCAATCAGAACCAGAGGTCAGTCTCACGTTATATTCGGCATCTTCCCTTTTTGTCTTATATATTTAATATCTTCCATTCTTCATTAAAGCAATGTTCCTACGCTATCTCACGACCAATTCGTGCGAGTGATTCAAAAGTGGCTAATTTGTACTAATTCATACGACCTCACTCGTACGAATTTGTACGATTTGTCTAAACCCACGGGACGGTTATGTTTAGGGGCGGGGTCAGGGGTAGGTCATTCGTACGAATTCATACGAATTGGCTAATTCGTAAAATATGTATGATTTATCACAAAAAAAAAAAACGTGTACGATATGTGTACGAAAATGTACGAAATGTACGTGTACGAAAAATATGTACGATTTAGCAAAAAAAAACGTGTACGATATGTGTACGAAAATGTACGAAATGTACGTGTACGAAAAATATACGATTTAGTAAAAAAAAACGTGTACGATATGTGTACGAAAATGTACGAAATGTACGTGTACGGAAAATATACGATTTAGTAAAAAAAAACGTGTACGATATGTGTACGAAAATGTACGAAATGTACGTGTATGAAAAATATGTACGATTTAGCAAAAAAAAAACTTTATGTTTTTTAAACTTTTGTCTGCTTGTGTTTTTAAAAAAAACTTTATATAGGCTTCAAAATGTATAAATTTTGGATTATCTTATAAAGATTATCTTGATGCACAAAACATGTAAGGGTCGCAACTCTTTGTTGAACACAGATCTTATTTTTTTTTAGCTTTTTTATCGAGGGAACCCATGCGCCGCTAGCTTCCGAGTCGTCCTACAAAGTGACGTCATCACTTCGGCACTCTATATATAATGTTGAATATAATGTATAATAATGCAATGGGGTAATATTTGTGGGTATATTCATGATAATCATGAATATGTTTATTCTGGTGTCTCTATTGTCCTGTGCTTTGGGTTTCAGCACAAAGTCCAAGTCTATTTACACACACAATTAAATTTATCATTATAATCAACAGTGCATTTTTTTGTTTTCTTTTTATCATGTGTTTTGGGTTATCGCAATAATATCGTATCGTTAGTTCAGTATCGTGATATGTATCGATTTAAATTTATCCGTGCATTAACATCGTGGTAATGTGACATGAGGGTATCGTTATAACCCTACTGTAAATAGAAATGGATAAAATGTCACAGTAACACAGTGTGCTTTGACTCAAGGGGAGTGTGTGTTTGTGTAGATATGTGGAGCAGAGTAACCTGATGATGGAGCAGAGAACCGACTCTCTGAAGAACAGCAGCGAACAGAATCAGACCAGAATACTGCAGGCAGAACAAGACAAGGTAACACTATTAACCTATCACACACACACACACACAATGACACCAGAACAGCCCTGTTCCAAATTCATGCCATAAGTGACAGATCGGAAACCTAACCGGAAGTGCTCTTCACAGGCAGCAACTTCACATGGCATTCCATAGCGCTAATGATGGGAAACTCTAAAATGCTTCAAACTTTCTTTCTTTCTTTCTTTCTTTCTTTCTTTCTTTCTTTCTTTCTTTCTTTCTTTCTCTCTCTCTCTCTCTCTTTTCTTTTCCTGTTCTTTTTTTCTCTTTCTTTTCCTTTTTTTTCTTTCTTTCTTTCTCTCTTTTTCTTTTTCTTTTTTCTTTTTTCTCTTTCTTTCTTTTTTCTTTCTTTTCCTTTTTTTCTTTTTTCTCTTTCTTCTTCTCTCTTTTCTTTTCCTTTTCTTTTTCTCTTTCTTTCTTTCTTTCTCTCTTTTTCTTTTCCTTTTTTTCTTTTTATCTTTCTTTCTTTCTCTTTCTCTCTTTTCTTTTTCTTTTTCTTTTTTCTTCTTTCTTCTTTCTTACTTACTTTCTTTCTCTCTTTTTATTTCTTTGTTTCTTTCTTTCTTTTTCTTTTTTTTTCTTCTCTCTCTTTTTCTTTCTTTCTTTCTTTCTTTCTTTTTCTTTTCCTTTTTTTCTTCTTTCTTTCTTTCTCTTTCTTTCTTCTTTCTTTCTTCTTTTCCTGTTTTTCTTTTCTCTTTCTTTCTTTCTTCTTCTTTCTTTCTTTCTTTCTTTCTTTCTTTTTCTTTCTTCTCTTTTCCTTTTTTCTTTTTTTCTCTTTCTTCTTTCTCTCTTTTTCTTTTCCTTTTTTCTTTTTTTCTCTTTCTTTCTTTCTTTCTTTCTTTCTTTCTTTCCTTTTCCTTTTTCTTTTTTTCCTCTTTCTTTCTTTCTTTCTTTCTTTCTTTCTTTCTTTCTTTCTTTCTTTCTTTCTTTCTTTCTTTCTTTCTTTCTTTCTTTCTTTCTTTCTTTCTATCTACGTGATGCTTGAAGCTTGATGTCAAGTAGTTGCTGATCGTGGCCTACAGAGAGATATGTATCTGATTTAGAATGAGCAGAAATCTGGGAGAAATTTAACAACCCAAAGACAAAAAATCTGATAAAGATAAGCTGTTCTAGAAGCAAAAGTCTAGTGAGCAGCGCTGTGTCATATGACATGTGCTCAGCTCGAGGTTCAGGCTTGTTTGTTCATTAATGAGGTCATCAGCGATTCGTCGACTCGAGTTTAATCACATAAATGCTGACTAACAATATGAAATCTAATACAATAGGCAATGACAACTCTTAAATATCTCTACTGTCAACACTATTTCCTTCTAAGCCATGTATCTCTGCTCTGATTGGTTAATTAACGCTACTCTGATTGGCTGAGGGCCTTTAGCGGTGACTGCTCTCTTTTCCCAGCATGCACTGCCACTGGAATTGAGTTGGGATCAGGTGAGCAAAAGCGCTGTCCTGCTTTTCATCCATTTCTTCATAGTCCTCACACACTCTTTCACATCTTTTATGTTAAATGAAGCATTTCCCATTTCTCATTTCACTCTTTGTTTGAACAGGCACCACTCACTCACTAACCAATCAGCATTCAGCTCTCAGCAGGGGTAGACAGTCCTACCACCCTTGCTTTCAATTCCTTGTATTGTTTATTTGTCTTTCCATTATAGTCCATTCATCATTTCATCGGCTGTTGTTTAGTGTTTAAAGGGATAGTTCACCAAAGAATAAAAATTACCCCATGATTTACTCACTCTCAAGTCATCCTAGGTGTATGAGTCTCTTCTTTCAGACGAATACAATCGGAGTTATGTTAAAAAATGTCCTGTCTCTTCCAAGCTTTATAATGGCAGTGAATGTGTATTTAAGCACATACATCCATAATAAAAGTGCATCTATACATGATAAAAGTGCATCTATACATGATAAAAGTGCATCTATCCATAATGAAAGTATATCTGTCCATCATAAAAGTGCATATATTCGTGATAAAAGTGCATCCATGATAAAAGTGCATCTATCTATGATAAAAGTGCATCTATACATGATAAAAGTGCATCTGTCCATGATAAAAGTGCATCTATCTATGATAAAAGTGCATCTATACATGATAAAAGTGCATCTATCTATGATAAAAGTGCATCTATACATGATAAAGTGCATCTATCTATGATAAAAGTGCATCTATACATGATAAAAGTGCATCTATCTATGATAAAAGTGCATCTATCCTTAATGAAAGTACATCTGTCCATCATAAAAGTGCATCTATTCGTGATAAAAGTGCATCTGTCCATGATAAAAGTGCAACTATACATGATAAAAGTGCATCTATCCATGATAAAAGTGCATTTATCCATGATAAAAGAGCATCTATACATGATAAAAGTGCATCTATCCATGATAAAAGAGCATCTATACATGATAAAAGTGCATCTATCCATGATAAAAGAGCATCTATCCATGATAAAAGAGCATCTATCCATGATAAAAGAGCATCTATCCATGATAAAAGTGCATCTCTCCATGATAAAAGTGCATCTATCCATGATAAAAGTGCATCTCTCCATGATAAAAGTGCATCTATCCATGATAAAAGTGCATCTATCCATGATAAAAGTGCATCTATATATGATAAAAGTGCATCTATACATGATAAAAGTGCATCTATTCTTGATGAAAGTGCATCTAACCACGATAAAAGTGCATCTATACATGATAAAAGTGCATCTATATATGATAGAAGTGCGTCGATACTTGATAAAAGTGCATCTATCCATGAAAAAAGTGCATCTATATACATGCATCTCTCTTTTATCCTTGATAATAGATGCACTTTTATCATGTATAGATGCACTTTTATCATGGATGTATGTGCTCATATACACATTCACTGCCATTATAAAGCTTGGAAGAGCCAGGACATTTTTTAATATAACTCGGATTGTATTTGCCTGAAAGAATAAACTCATATACACCTAGGATGTCTTCAGGGTGAGTAAATCATGGGCTAATTTTCGTGTTTTGGTGAACTAACCCTTTGAGCTGTTTCATGTCGTCTCTCTGGAAGGCGCGCTTGAGCGAGGAGTTGGCGTCCTCCACGGCGCGCGTGTCTGAGCTTCAGCTGGACTTGAGCTCGCAGCAGCAGAAGATCACGGCTCTGCAGACCAAACTCAGCGCCGCCCTGCTGGACGCTCAGCAGCACAACACACACATCGCAACGCTGGAGGCTCAGATGCTGGGTGAGCAGCTCGTCTCATAACCAGCACTGAAACACACGGCTAAAGTTTCCTGTAGTGATGAGAAGTCTGATTATTTTCCGTCAACTGGTTCTTTTAGACAATTTGTTGTTGTAAAACCGTATGTTTCAGGTTAGTTTGTGCCAACACTGTGTTTTTGTCTTGTTTCCAGTCCAAATATCTAAAACTTCTTAAATCAAGACTCATTTACTAATAAGTAAAATGCCATAAAATATTATATCTTGTTTTCTCGGGTGAAAAGAATTAAAATGAATGAACTGAGCTTTTTCCTTAAAACAAGGAAAATTATCTATCAATTGGATAATAAGATTAATTTGAGCTGCAGTGTGTAAATTAAATGTAGATTAATCCTTATTATATATATAATATATACAGTATATTGTTATTATAAATACAAAAGTTATTCAGTCAAAAGCAGTAAATGATTTTCTCTTTGTCTTTTGTTCTTTGATTAAGATTAATGACAGACAGCTGCATTAATTGTATTGAATATTTTGAATGCGTTAAACTGGAAAAATTAATAGCATGCATTAACACGCTAAAAATATTTAATGCAATTAATGCAGCTGTCTGTCATAAAAGTTAATCATGAACAAAAGACTGAGCGAAAAACACGCACTGCTCTTGACTGAAGAACTTTTGTAGCTTTAATAAGGATTAATCTGTTTAATTTATGCAGTGAAAACTGAAGTATTTAAAAAAATATATTCTATTTCTGTATGTTTGTGATTAATTGTGATTTATTAGTTTTAATTTTTTTAATCGATTGAAGGCACTAATAAATATATAAATATAATAAGTAATACAACTTTTTTATTTTTTTAATTTTACTTTGTGACATTTTCAATTAAGCATATTGTCATTGATATAATAAATGGAAATGTTTTATGAGTTGAGTTTTTTGCAATTCTCATTCTCAAATTCTCTTTTTATTATGCTGTATTTTTCAACTGCATTTCTGTAAAATTGCAGTGATTTTAAAAAATATATATTTTACAAACAAAGGCAGTAACACCAATATTATCATTATGTATACATTGTTTCCTATGTAAATAGCATATAATTGTGTTTGTGAGATTAAAGCTGCAGTGCGTAACTTTTTTAGCTTAAAAATGATCAAAAATAAAATCGAGCAAGTACATATTCACCCGTTGTAAAATGTTCATTCGTCTTCGTTCAGACTTCGGAGTGACGACAGCAATCGGCCAATGTGAAAACAAGGATAATACCGGAAGAGTATTAACTGTTGTCACGCAATGCCGATGTGGTTAAGTTCATTAACAATTTGAGAACAAAGTATAATTTGCGACAGTTTGACGTGATATGATAAGCGATCGTTAGATTTAATCAGCGCGATTTACTGCGATGCTTTTTTTTCCTTTAGTTGGTCAGAAGAAAAGTGGATGTTAGTTACTTGTTCAGACATTTTCCAGTGAAAATTATTATGTTGGTCATACTTCCAAAAAGAATAATCTGGGATTCTGAATGCCAGGATCCACACCGGCGGCGACTGACAGCGGCACGTTCTCCTCATAACATTGGATTAATCCGTGCTGTGCTGTGCCGAAGATCAACCCACGTAAAGTAATAACGCGAATAACTGCAATTGCAGATTTCGGACAGAGATGGCGACAAAGAGGAAAAACTATGGACTGCAGCTTTAAATATTGTCGCTTAATTTCATAAAAATGTCACACAGTGGCAAATATTGTCTTGTTTAGGCATATATATGAAGAGTTCAGATGCAAAAGCCTCTAAATGCCATTTGAAATGTTGTTCTTTAATGATGATTTTTATCAAACTTGTATATTTAAGTTCAGTAATTTCACTTAAATAACAATTAATAGGTAATCATCATTGCCATTTAAGTGAAATCACTGAACTTAAATATACAAGCTTGATAAAAATGATCATTCTAGAAGAAAATTTCAAATGCAACTTAGAGGCTTTTGCATCTGAACTCTTCATATATATATATATATATATATATATATATATATATATATATTAGGGATGCACGATATATCGGCCAGGATATCGGTATCGGCTGATATATGTTCATTTTTAATGTTATCGTTATCGGCCTGGTAAGAAAATTTGGCCGATATATTAAAGCCGATAAATAATGTATTATTCCCTTCAGCTGAGACGCTTGTTGACACTGTTTATGTTTTTGAATTTCTTGAAATATGATTGAAATCTCTTCAAAAAATTAATATCTGGTTCGGGACAACATGTGCAACGCAAATCTGTCATATCGGCTATACAACCCTATAATGAGAACATCATTATAATCGTGTGCATGAATTTAATTGTGAGACTTTTGTAATCAGGCTCTCAAAATTAGATAAAAAATTTGGATTTAAGTTCATCGGCCGATATATCGGTTATCGGCTTTCAAATATAAAGAATTATCGGTATCGGCCAAAATTTTCATATCGGTGCATCCCTAATATATATATTATTATTATTATTTTTTTTTTTTTTTATGTGTGTGTGTTTCAGAGCTGAGGGAGACGGCAGACAGAGTGCAGGGTCAATACAAGATGGAGAAGCAGAAACGTAAGGAGCTGGAGCTCAAACTCAACAACACAGAGGAAGAGCTGCAGGACATGAAGACGGAGAAGGACAGTCTGGAACGAGTGAGTTATTGACTCTTCTGTCTGTGCCTGAATCCTCATCTGGATAATCTTGAATGCGTTGACCTGTGTGTGTGTGTGTGTGCTCAGACTCTGTCAGAGAGGAAGCGTAAGTGGCAGGCCGAGAGACAGCGCTGTGATGAAGAGCTGGAAGAGGTGAGGAGGACGAGCCAGCAGGAGATGGAAAGTCTCCGGAGCCAGTTACGCAAAGCCAGGACGAGCACGGACCACGCAGCAGCAGAACAGGTAGGTGTGTGTGTGTGTGTGTGTGTGTGTGTGTGTTGACATGCATAATGATAAGAAGAGATCCTTGCTGCCAATCAGAATCAGAGGCTTCGCACCGGGTAGTTCTAGGATTGATCCACCAGGTGTTTCCCGAGAACTAATGGTTCCCTTAGGAACGTTTTCCTGGTTGCATTCGCACCGTAAGCAGTAGGGCTGGGTATTGACACAAATTTCACAATTCGATTTGATTTCGATTCACAAGCTTGCAATTCGATTCGATTTCGATTCAATATTGATTATTTTGGATATCAGTTACAATAAATGGCAAATTTTCTCAAGGAAATCAAATCTCTGAACTAATGCTGTAAACTATGGGAGTTGTAGCCTGTAGGCTTCATTAGCCTAATATGAAGGTAATAATGAACTGTTTTGTAGCTACACAAACACTTAAATTACACTTATTTATTTTTATAATAAGAAGATTATATGAAATATAAACATTCAAATGGTGGCTGTCATAAACTTGCCAGATTTACTCAAATATGCATTAAATATTGAAGAACGTTAAGATTATAATGCATATGTAATATGGTGAATATATTTAGCAAAATGCTCCTCTCTAGAGTTATTTTTTCTAGCTGACTAACGAGTTTATGTGGGTTTTCTGAGGTAAATATATAACGATACATTGATTACAAGCTGTTTAACTGACGTCTTTCCACGATTGAAACGCTGATTGAGCGATACGGATTTCGATAAGTTGTACTCTATCTTTTAACACACTTTCAGATGCTCATTCATGTTTATTTCGCGCTGTGACTGGTATTATTAAGCCAGAAGAGAGATCAGCGCTGCTTCTGAATTTCTAAAGAAAATGGACGTAATTTGAAAATTGAGACTTTGTTTCATATCAATAGTAACAAAGGACAAAGATTATTGCGATTTTTTTGATGCGTGCAGCCGCAATACAATGTCCCATTCATTCAAATGAAACAGGATGACTAATCGATTCTTGAGATTTAAGAATTGATATCGGTTCGTAAAAATGAGAATCGATTAATATTGAGAAATAGATATTTATTACCCAGCCCTAGTAAGCAGGAACTCTGATGTGACGCAAGACACACTTGTTGTTGGGACTTTTATTTTGACGGTGCTGAGAACGCCAGAGCTCAAAGTGCTCTCCATGTTCATTAGTTTGCGATCTATCTTATACGTTATTATATAGATCTGTTATACACTACCGGTCAAAAGTTTTAGATTGGTAAGATTTTTTTTTATTTGATAAAAAAACAAAAAAAAACAGTAATATTGTGAAATATTATTACAATTTAAAACAGCAGTTTTCTATGTGGATATACTGTATAGTGAAGTGTAATTTATTCCTGTGATCATCATTACTCCAGTCTTCAGTGTCACATGATCCTACAGAAATTATTATAATATGATGCTCAAAAAACATTTATGATTATTATGCATGTTGAAAACAGTTTTTTACATTTTCATTTCAGGATTCTTTGATGAATAGAAAGTTCAAAAGAACAGAATTGATCTGAAATGGAAAGCTTTTGTAACATTAATCACTACCATTGAAAAGTTTGGGGTCAGTAAGAATTTATTTTTTATTTTTGGGGGAAAGAAATTAGAAAATACTTTTATTCATCAAGGGTGAGTTAAATTGATCAAAAGTTACAGTAAAGACATTTATAATGTTAGAAAAGATTATATTTTAAACAAATGCTGTTCTTTTGAAGTTTCTATTCATCATAGAATTTTGGGGGGGAAATGGTACACGACTGTTTTCAACATCGAAAATAATCATTTATGTTTTTTGAGCATAAAATCAGCATATTAGAATGATTTCTGAAGGATCACGTGACTCTGAAAACTGATGTGCAATCAGCAACAGCAATGATGTTGAAAATTCAGCTATGAATATATAAAAATATATTCAAATAGAAAACAGTCATTTTAAATTGTCATAATATTACTGTTTGTCATTTTTTTCATCAAATAAAGCAGCGTTGGTGAGCAGAAGAGACTTCGTTTAAAAACATAAAAAATCTTAATGTTTTATAAAAAAAAACCTTAATAAAAAAAACATAAAAAACTGGTCAACTTTTGACCGGTAGTGTATATAGGAAGTAGACCGTAATGAAAGTTATTAGCGTATGCCGTGTGGTTGATGTTCAGTGTTGCTGAGCAGAAATACATAATCGTGTTTCTCTTGATCTCCTCAATGTGTCGTTGAGTTTTCTCCTCAGCATAAAGGTTAAAAGGCTCATCGATCACTGCTTTACATGTTAGTAGAGTTAGTTTGTGGAGTAAATATATAAGCTATAATCTGTGTGTTTACACAGCGGTTTTTAAAATGGCGGGTGTTGGTGTTTCAAGTGCGTTCGGCCAATCAGCGAACACTAAGGTCACGGATAGTTCCTATAGCGCTGGTTTAGACGACTCTGAAGTCATATGCTTCGTCCCAATTCGCTTACTTATACTACGCCCTAAAAGTATGTACTCTTTTTGTGAGGAAAAAGTACATACTTTTGAGTGTGTAGCAAAAGAGTAGGCAAGCTTTGGGACATACTCATCTTTAACGGACGGCTCTGTCGCGTGCTGCGTGCATCCTGTCACCGTAAACTGCCCTGTCAATCATCTTGTCACAGTTAAAATCCTCCATTCTATCTAATTTGATTTCCTACCTTTTCGAAGCACGTTCATCTGCCAGTTGTGGGTCTTTCATGCTCCCCTTATGTGTTTTGCAATTTGAATATAATGATGCATTTAAAACATAATGGCTAAACGTGTCTTTACAAAAGTTCACAATGCTGCTGCAAATGCAATATAATGTGGAGAACATTGAATAAATTCATTTTCGTCAGTTTAGATACTGATAATTAATCACTCAAAGCTCTTTATCTAAACCTCTCTACACAACCGCGGGGACTCGCGCGTCCTCCGCATCGACTACGTGTCTGTAGTTTTTTAACACTTTTTACTCGTGTTTGTAGTTCTAACCGAATCCTCGTCCAACGCGCAATGGGTTGTGGGCAATATCAGCCGTTAGAGTGTGCATCGATCTACACTTCGGATTCTGACCGGAAAAAGTAGACCATCCGGGTATCTTTGAAACACTCATTTCAACATACTACGGTTTGGGACGTACTAATTCTATTTTCGAATACTATTTAGGACGGATAGTATGCGAATTGGGACGCAGGGTCAGTCGTCTCTGTCCTCTGTGCAACCAGGAAAACCTTCCTAAGGGAACCATTAGTTCTCAGGAAACACCTGGTGGCTCAATCCTAGAACTACCCGGTGCAAAAGCCCCTATTCTCAACAGTACCTGGGTGTATGATTGAGAGTTTTTGACACTCAGTATATTGTATTGTGACTGTGTGTGTGTGTGTAGCTGTCTCAGTTGCAGGCGGATCTGGAGCAGGAGTGGCAGGTGAAGTGTGATCAGACTCTGGCAGCGGCACGAGAACAGCACAGGAGAGAGACCACTGAACTCACTGAACACAGAGACACACTGCAGCTCAAACTCACACAGCTGCAGGAGAAGGTACACACACACACACATGTCTGATAATAATATTTAAACTCTGCAGTATATTTGACAATCACTGAACTCATCCCTCCAACTCCTCTGTGTAGTTCAACACACTCCGGCAGTCGCGTGACTCCGAGGAGCAGCGTTCGCTACAGCAGGACCGCGACCAGGGAGACGAGCTGCAGGCCTGGAGACAGAAGGTCCGACACTGACCCGTTCACGCACTCATTTCACTTCCTCTTTCTCTGCGCTGTCTAAATGATTGTGTTGTGGGCTCTATCATACACGCGACGCAAGTGTGTTTTGCTAGTTTCAGCCTGACACTGTTATCATTTTCACGTCCTGTGCCTCGTTATTTAAATAGGAAATGCATTAGCGCCCAAAACGAGGTGTGTGTTTAGGCGCATTGTTGGCGTGTTGCTATTTATAACTGAAGCCTGCTCTTAAGTCCATGGCACAGTATTTTCTTTATTAACCCTCAGGTGCTCTTCGGTCATTTCTGACCGAACAATTTTCTGTTTTGAATTTCTAAAAATCACAGCTTCATCGGAATGTTACGAAACTTGGTGACTTTTATGGCATTGGGTATGTGAACACACAAAAAAAATTGAGGTCATGATCCGAGCAGGCTAAGTGGTCGTAAAATAAATAGTCACACTTGTGGTCTTTGGTCAAAAATGACCGACCCTTAGGAAATGAATGGGAAATTGACAAAAATTCACAAATTTTTATTTTTATTTATTTATTTTTTTTACATTTTTTACATAAAAAATAGTTTTTGAGATTGTTTCAACTATATATTCAAATCCACCAAAAAAAAAAAAAGTGTTCATAAACATCTGGGGAATTCACATGCCTCTCCATAGAGAGCTGTACATGCCATCTAGTGGTTACACCATGATTCTACGCTTTTTCTCTATACTGTAACCAGATGGTGCTAATTTTCTTCAAAAAAAACTTTTTCTGAAGGCCTAGACTCTATATTGAACTAAAATACTGCATTAATAATTTTTTGAAAAAAAAAAATATATAGAAAAATATATATATATTTACATGGCAAAATAGACCATAAATATTGCATAAATATTAATAAATTCAATCAAATTGTCTTAAAATACTAAATTACAAAGAATAAATATTATAGAACAAAAATAAATTGCATTGGTTTTACTGGGATGGAGGAAATTTAATTTTTAGGTGTCCGGTCACTTTTGACCGGGAAGATAACAAGTGTGACTCCGAAACGAAGAGCACCTGAGGGTTAATTAAGGAGTGCGGTAGTAATATGTGCCACTAGGCGTGTCCACTGTTTATTACATACACACAAATTGTGAATCTGCCACGGCACGAACACAACTGCCTTTTAAAGGGATTGGGTGAAGAGACTCTGATTGGTTTGTTGCACGTTGCACCCAACACACCCATTACTCATTAAGAGAATACACACAACACATACCCATTACCAGACCAGCGCCAGGAGCGCCGACCATTTGTCCCCTTGTTAAACTTGCCAAAGTGGATTGGGACACACCCTAAGTGCACTTGCGCCGTAGACCATGTCCTTAGATGGTTAAAATAGGGTCGAGTGTTCCTCGTATCCTGTAGTGAAGTGTCTGCTTGTGTGTCAGTGCTGCGCGCTGGAGGAGAGAGTGGCGCTGATGATGAAGATGCAGGAGGAGACGCGCGACTCGGAGATGGAGAAGAAGACCGACACTGCAGGAGAGGTCAGCTTTATCCTCTACATCATACTGACACTGTTCATTGTTTATGTTAGTTCACAGTGCATTAACGTTACGCATTTATGTTAACGCGTTAAATATTTTAATAAAGCATCAACTAATGAACCTTATTATAAACCTTATTACCTTTTTGGTTTAAAAAATTACTTATATAATTATAATTATATAATTTTTATGTAAACATTTGTTTACTTGGACATTTTTGAACTATTGACCTAACCTCTATTTTTATTAATTTACATATACACACACACACATATATATATATATATATATATATGAAGAGTTCAGATGCAAAAGCCTCTAAATGCCATTTGAAATTTTCTTCTTTAATGATGATTTTTGTCAAACTTGTATATTTAAGTTTAGTAATTTCACTTAAATAACAATTAATAGGTAATTATCATTGCCATTTAAGTGAAATTACTGAACTTAAATATATAAGCTTGACATAAATCATCATTAAAGAAGAAAATTTCAAATGGCATTTAGAGGCTTTTGCATCTGAACTCTTCATATATCTTAGTACTTTTCCAAATTTTAGGGTTGGTAAGATTTTTGAAAGAAATTAATACTTTGATTCAACAATGATATGTTTAGGTAATCAAAAGTGAAAGTAAAGACATTCATAATGTTACAAAATATTAATATTTCAAATAAATGCTGTTCTTTTAAATCCTGAAAATTCTGGAAAAAAAAGATATTGCGTTTCCACACAAATATGAAGCAGCACAACTGTTTTTAACATTGATAATAATCATAAATGTTTCTTGAGCATCAAATCCTCATATTAGAGTGATTTCTGAAGGATCATGTGACTGAAGACTGGAGTAATGATGCTGGAAATACAGCTTTGATCACAGGAATAAATTACACTTCACTATATTTAAACAGCTATTCTAAATTGTAATAATATTTCACAATTTTACTGTTTTTTAATAAAAAAAATGCAGCAAAAACATTTAAAAAAAACTGAATTATTCTAGACTTTTGAATGGTGAACGTTGACTTCCTCAATATTCAGCTTTGATCAATGGAGTAAATTACATTGTAAAATATATGCTCATAGAAAATAGCTGTTTTACATTATAATAATATTTCACAATATTACCATTTTTACTATATTTCTGATCAAATAAATTCACCCTTGGTGAGCAGAAGAGACCATTAAAAAATCTGACGAACGCCAGAAAATTATTTTATTTTAGATAAGTAATTGAGCGATTATATTGGGTATCATAATTGTAAATTATAATAATATATTACTGATGTAAAATTAGTCCTCTGGGGTTGTTCGGCCCAAATGGACCTGAAGAATTTAAATAATTTTTTTTTAAATCACAGCTTCCTCGGAATGGTCTGAAAGTTGGTGACTTTGTTGGTATTTGGTATTTGAACACCCAAAAAAAATTGGGGACAGGATGTGAGAAGTAGTGGTTGTAAAAAAAATAGTCACACTTGGGCTGTTCAGGTTCAAATGGACCCGCATGGAAAATGAATGGGAAATTGGCAAAATGTGAAAATACTGAGGTTTTTTTGTGTGTACAATCTACAAATCAGCCACAATCTTGAAAAAAAGCACACAACAGTGAAGGTGTGAATCTATAAAACATCAAGAGTGCAAAACAGACGCAACCAGATACACACACACAAACACACTTTTATACACAAACACACCAAAAAATTCAGATTATACGTGTGTTTTGCATTTTTAAAATGCTCAGTTTGTCCACCAGATGGCATCCATCTCATTTCAAAAATTGCTTTTAATGAGGCCTAGGCTTGACTCTAAAATGAAATACAGCTTTAAAAAAAATAAAAACTATATATATATATTTTTTTAAAATATTTTTTCTATTATGTTCAATGGGGGGAAATTTTGTCATAATTATTGCATTAATACTAATTATAATTTTTTTTTTGTTGTAATTTTCTCAAAACACCAAAAAAGAAAAGAAAAAATATTATAAAAAACGAGTAAAAAAAAAAATCATGAATATGAATCCCGCCCTTTGGGTCCATTTGGACCCGAACACCCCGAGTGTGACTCTGAAACGAACAACCCCGGGAGGTTAACATTAAATACATTTACATTTAATTTAATATTCAACAACATTATTGATCTCCTGCATTGACACTATTATACAAGAACTGATCTGAGCTGGACGATGACATCATGGCTTACTCCAGAGCGGCTGTATATATATTTGAACTAAATTAATAACTTTTTTGCAACAAAAATGAAACATCACAGAACTGGACTATGCTTAAGCATACACTATTTTCTTCTGGAAACAAACTTTGTTGCATTATTTTCCTGTTATCTCTGTAAAGCTGCTTTGAAACACTGTATTGTTGCTGTAATGAATAGATGCACTGAATAAGATAATCAAATCTTGTTTTTTAATATTTAAATAAAGCATTTATTTTGGTTTGCATCATAGAGTCATCACAGACTCTTCCTAAGCTCAGGTGTGTGTATGTCCAGGTGAAGCGCGTGATGAACGGAGTGTTTCAGTCTCTGCGAGGGGAGTTTGACCTGAACGAGACGTACGAAGGAAGTGCTGTTCTCCGAGTGCTGGTCAACACCATCAAGGTCAGGCTCTCGGTGCACATCTCACTCGTTTCTGCTCAAAAACTGCGGAGAGAAATGTCACACAGTGCTTTTTCCTCCAATGACAGAGTGTCACACTGCAGCTCCTCACGAAGACCGAGAGATCGACACCTGAACACAGTGAGGAGGAGGAGGAGGAGAGAGAGAGCGATGCGCGGCACATGAACGGGCGGAGAGAGGAAGATAAGCAGACGGACGGAGATCCTGAGGAGGAAGGAAAGGAAAGAAAAGAAAAGGAACAGGTTTCAACAACAGAAGAGAAGGAGGAAGACGAAGCGGCGGAAATCGAAAGTGAACAGGAAGTTGTCCAAGAAAGGAATGAAGAGGAAGTTAATCTCAGAAACGCAGAACGCAATGTGCAAGATCAGGACGGGGAAACCACACACGGAGAAGAGGCTGAACGTGAAGCCACACCCACACAGGAAGTGAGAACACAGCTGCCTGATGACATCACTCCACAGGAAGTGACCACAGAGCTGCCTGATGACATCACTCCACAGGAAGTGACCACAGAGCTGCCTGATGACATCACTCCACAGGAAGTGACCACAGAGCTGCCTGATGACATCACTCCACAAGAACAGGAAGTTAAGGTAGTTGATGAGAGCGTTCCAGGACTGACGCTCGGCGGGCCGCCCAAGAACCCGCCGCCGCCCCCTGGTGGTCACGTCGCTCCTCCTGCACACGTCACCAGGTGAGAACATCGAGAAGGTTTTCTCGCCTTTATGCCATTCTAGACCATAGTGTTATTTTAGTATCGCTGAGAGACTGTTCCAGTTTTTATGAATATGTATATAATCGGTTAAGAGTTGGTTGATCATGATTTCACTTTTCTAACTTTAGTTAGTGTGTAATGTTGCTGTTTGATTATAAACAACATCTGCAAAGTTACACCGCTCAAAGTTCAAAGCAAAGGGAGATATTTGCTTTTACAGAAATCGTTTTTAGGACTACAACAAACTGCTGGTAGGGACTACACAAGCTTCCTCCCGAGTTAGTGACATCACTAACCCTAAAATTTACATAAACCCCACCCCCGGAACGCACAAGTGTTGAGAAGAGGAAGAGTTGTTGTAGTAAAGCACATTTGTGAGTTCAAGCTCAAGCTGTCGCATCCGTCTAAAAGCTTTTGCAAAGGATGAACAGGTTTTTACGCATTAAACTGAAAAAATGAATAGCATGCTTTAATATTTACAGCCTAATTAAATAATGTATAAAAATGTTTTTTTATGGTATTAGTTTTAGTTCTGTATAATAACTCTGGACTGTATATCCACATAACAAAAGGAAATGACAAAACCTGCTGACACTTTACAATAAGGTCTCATTGTTTAAGGTGTCATGACAGATATTATTTTAATATGTTCCTTGAGATATACTTATAATTTTAATCAAAATGAAGTATATATATATATTATATGAGGAAAACGATCATCGTTCTCTGTCTGAAAGTATCCCTTATTTACGGCACGGCTCCTTTAAGGCTTGTCACTAAACGACCACTGTTATGATTGGCAGTGGGCGGGGCCTAAGGTGCGATGATGTATAACTATTCCTGGAGGCGGGAATATGCAAATGTATTTGCCCTTGTGACGTCACTGATTCCGCAGTATCCAAACAAGTTGTTTTTAGATTTCTGAAATGTGTGTAATAGATAATCAGATTTTTTTTTGACGTCCCAACATTACAGTTCATCTAATTAAATCAGTTTTATGAATGTATAATAATGTAGTCTGTAAATGAACACAACGCTCTCTTGTGTAACCGTCTCCATAAGCATGTGCCCAAATAATATTTTTGTCCTCTGTCCCGTTTCTTTCCGTCTCTCTTCTCTTCTGTGCTCATCCTGCTGTTCTCTCAGTCCGTCCGAGAGGGTAGAAGAGGAAAACGAAGAGGAACCGTTGTTCCAGAGTCCCGTCACACACACACCCACACCGGCAGCGGCCGATGAAGAGGAGGAGGAGCTGGTGAGCACACACACACACACACTCTCACCGAAAAGCGTTTGTTTAAAACCGGTGATTAGCAGCTCCATGTTAACTCAATGTCATAGATTACACACTAGATGTCACATTGGCTACGGCAGTTCATTGGAACGAATGCGTCAATAGAGCCGCCATCATGGAACGGAACTTTAACCCTCTGGGGTTGTTCGGCCCAAATGGACCCGAAGAATTTAAATACAATTTTTAAAAATCACAGCTTCCTCGGAATGGTCTGAAAGTTGGTGACTTTGTTGGTATTTGGTATTTGAACACCCAAAAAAAATTGGGCACAGAATGTGAGTAGTAGTGGTTGTAAAAAAAATAGTCACACTTGGGGTGTTCGGGTTCAAATGGACCCGCATGGAAAATGAATGGGAAATTGGCAAAAATGTGAAAATACTGAGTTTTTTTTTGTGTGTACAATCTACAAATCAGCCACGATCTTGAAAAAAAAAAGCACACAACAGTGAAGGGGTGAATCTATAAAACATCAAGAGTGCAAAACAGACGCAACCAGACACACACACACACAAACACACTTTTATACACAAACCAAAAAATTCAGATTATACATGTGTTTTGCATTTTTAAAATGCTCAGTTTGTCCACCAGAAGGCATCCATCTCATTTCAAAAATTGCTTTTTTGAGGCCTAGGCTTGACTGTAAAATGAAATACAGCTTTAAAAAAAATAAAAAATAAAATATATTTTTAAATAATTTTTCTATTATGTTCAATGGGGGAAAATTTTGTCATAATTATTGCATTAATACTAATTATAAAAAAATATATATATTTTTGAAATTTTCTCAAAACGAGTAAAAAAAAATCATGATTTAAAAAAAAAAAAAAAATGAATCCCGCCCTTTGGGTCCATTTGGACCCGAACACCCCGAGTGTGACTCTGAAACGAACAACCCCAGAGGGTTAATGCATAAGCGTCAATGTAGGCAAAGGTCTAGCGGAAATAAAATCACCATAAATCGTTATGAATGCGATTTTCTAGTTGTTGTTTTTTTTGGTTCATTCCAATGGAGTCCAGAGGGAAAATCAATGTCATGTATCGTCATATTTACCTCAGAAAACCCACATAAACTCGTTAGTCAGCAAGAAAAAAATAATTCTAGAGAGGAGCATTTTGCTAAATATATACACCATATTACATATGCATTACAATCTTAACGCTCTTCAATATTTAATGCATATTTGAATAAATCTGGCAAGTTTTTATGACAGCCACCATTTAAATGTGTATATTTCATATAATCTTCTTCTTATAAAAATAAATAAGTGTAATTTAAGTGTTTTTGCATAGCTACAAAACAGTTCATTATTACTTTCATATTAGGATAATGAAGCCTATAGGCTACAACTCCCATAGTTTACAGCATTAGTTAAGAGATTTGATTTCCTTGAGAAAATTTGCCATTTATTGTAACTGATATCCAAAATAATCAATATTGAATCGAATCAAACTGCAAGCTTGTGAATCGAAATCGAATCGAATTGTGAAATTTGTGTCAATACCCTATTAAACAACTTGAACACTCCTGATTTCACTGAAAGTCATGTAGTGTGAACCGCACAGTTCAGCCCGACGTTTTAAAACCATGTAGTGTGAACAAGGCTTAAGCTCTGCCACTCTCACACCAAAAGTTGTCTTTACGGTCATGACGAGACACAGACCAATGATCGGTGGAGGTTATTAGTCACTAAATGCACACATTCAAACAATGTGTTTGTTCAGTAATTAATATGCGAACTGATTGTTGTCTGTGAACAGAGTTTGAAAGGACGCCCCCCTCCCGCGCCTCTGTTCGGTGATGAAAGTGAGGATGATGATGACCTGGACTGGCTGGGCTGATGGGACTTCTCTGAACACCAGTGTGTGAAGTCAGATGAGGTCCAGCAAAGAGGACAAACGGACCCTGTGTGTGTGTGTGTGTGTGTGTGTGTGCCGAATCGCTGGGGACTTTAATTTGTGGGTTTGGATGCTTCTAGAAGGATTTTGTGATCAAAGAACAGAGTAACTTCCTGTCCAAAAGCATTTGAATGAAGATCTTAATGGCGGTATGAACCGAGGGCTGCTTACAAACTGATTTACTGCACATACAGCAAAAAGAAAATCATTGTTAAATCTACAAATACTGTAAATCATAATGTTTTTTTTTTATCTTAATTTATGATCGTTTCCATCTTTAAAACAGAGCTTTCATGGTTATTTCTGATGACGTTATCTTGCTGTCTCTGTTCTTAATGTTTATACATTGTACT